TTTGATCTTCTGAGCAGAAACATAACTCTTGACTCCCTCTGTCATCTGGGGCCCAGCCTAGTGGGCAGGCTTCCTTGCAGCGATTCATGAGAATTCTCTGATGGGAACTCCCAAGAATGTGGTTGAAGGAATGAAGAAGAAAAAACAACAACACGGTATCTAAATAAATACATAAATCCTCCCACTGTGAATTCAGTGCTGGGAAATATGGCTCTTCTTTAGCAAAGCAGAGGAGCAGAAAATAGGTATCCCATCTTCCTTCAGTGTGAATTGGCAGGAACATTTGTTGCTTGCGAAAGTTGAATCCAAGATTTGGGTTGGGGAAAGTTTTATCCAGCTGACATTCATTGTTTATTTTTTAAGCCGGTACAAGTTGGAAGGAGAGCAACTCTGAAATGAATCTCTAAGATTCCAGCAAAGGGGTCCCTCTCTTTCTCTCTCTCTCTCTATTCCCAAATTCTCATCTTGGAGACAATGATCCAGAACGAGGGTAAGGGAGGCGGTGAATGAATGACCTTGAACAGAATTGTGTGTGTCTTTTCTCAGGACAGGGACTTAATCTCGGTTAAATCCATTCTCCCTCCCACTTGAAATTCTAAGGAAAGATTCGTTCTATGTCGTTGAGCGAACCAGCGAGCAGCTGCCCATGTAGATGGTATCAGATTAAAGGATCAAAGCATATGATTTGCTCTGGCGTCTTTCAGCCTTCGAAGTGTCTTCTAGAAGCATGTTTGAGGTCCCAGATGGGTCCCCCTTCTTGTCTTGGATCACCTTCCTTTCGATGACTTTTTCAGCCCAGAAACTCATGCATCTTACATGACTTTATCAGAAGGATTTTATCATCTCTGGGATCCTTGGTGCTCTCTGAGCTTGACGGTTTTCTTGCAGATGTTTCATTACATGTGAATGTTTCCCAGTTGGGTTATGAAACATCTGCAAGAAGCCCACCAAGCTCAGAAAGCACCAAGGACCCCACAGGTCAACCTTGAGCTACAAATATTCTGTTTGATTGGGACCTATCATCTAAGTTGCCTCTTATTCATTACATTGAAGATGGCTTCTATTTTGAGAAGCACATCTTGTTCTTCTAAGACGTTTGCCACCTTCTTCTTGATGCCCACCTGAGTCTCTCCTCTATGTGCCCATTCTCTTTTTTAGAAACTTTGCTGAGAACTTACCTTTGAGCATCTTGTAATCTAGGGCTTAAATAGTCAAGTTGGCTGGGAATTTTGGGAATTGGAGCTTCTGGAGAGTGCTCAGTTTGAGAAGGCTGCTCAATGTCTTGAGGATGCCTCTGACCACAGAGGAATCCGTTTTCCCCACAGTCAGCAATTCCATTTATTTCTCCCTGATCTGGAGTTATAAATCCTTAATTCTTCAATGGGGGATTAGTCATCCGGACTGAGAGAACGCAGACAAAACATGTTTCTGATGAGTCTACAAATAGTTAGGTCATTGAAGGACTAACTCTCTAATTCAGCTAATTTCCTGGAGACATTCAGGCCATTGTCTGCGTAGACAAAGGTTTCTCTTCAACGATCTTTGGTTCAGGAGATGTTCTTGCTGGAATGTAATAGAAAATGTCAGGAAATCTGGAGGGTGTCTTCCTGGTCTCTATTTAATGACAATGTGGATGCTTCATACGAGTCCATTTTTTTTTGTTTAGGTGTCAGTAATATCGGTTACATCCGAATATAAAACAATTGCAACCAGCCTGCTTTCCATTGAGGACCTGTATAACTGTGTGACCCAGAAAGGGGGCTGAGAAAATATCTACAGACCCCTCACATCCTGGACATAAACTGTTTTAACTTCTCCCCTCAGGATGCCGCCATAGGGTATTGCATGTTACAGACAGTCATAAAGGAGAATATTTGTCGCTGAAGGTTGACATGAGGGGTTCTTGGTGTTCTCTGAGCTTGTTTGTTTTGTTGCAGATGTTTTATTACTCAACTAGGTAACATCATCAGTGCTAGTTGCTACCTTTGCTACCCTAGAGGTAGTTTTTTGCCCCATGCCATTACTCTGCTAAACACTTAACTCCCGCAGCACTATCTTATGCCCAAAGATATTTACCCATGTAGTAGGGCTGTATTGCTATTATCCTTCTCCTCCTCCTCCTCCTCCTCCTCCTCCTCCTCCTCCTCCTCCTCCTATTGGTATCTTATGATTTATCATTTGTGGTTTGTACGTTATGGTTTATGATTGTGTCTTATGACTTATGATCTATGACTGATCACTTTGTTGTTCGTATATACATTGAGAGCTTATGCACTAGAGACAAATTCCTGGTAACAAAATGTTCAGAGAACAAACCTTCACTCTCATCCTACACCCAAGTTACAGATATCTGCCACTATTGCAAATTCCTTGTGTGTCCAATCACACTTGGCCAATAAAGAATTTTATTCTATATTACATTTGTAATTCCAACATGTTCCTGTGTCTTGGGTCCTTCTAAAACAACCTCTCTTGTCTTGCTTCCGACCATTCTCCCACCTCTTGTCTATAACTGAAGAAGGTTCTCCCACCTTGGATTGAAGTCATCATCTTCATTTTAGCCATTGTGTATCTATTGGAGGACAAAGGATTCCTTTGTATGTTTCCAACCAATACAGTTTTGATCTTTCTTTCACCAATTGGGCCCGACATACTTGCTGATGTCCATCTTGTTTTTGGTCTCTTTCCTGGATGTTTTTGATCGAGTGGGAACCATTCTATGACTGCCTTGGTCTACCTGCTGTCAGTTCTTTGTCAGTATTCCAGCAATCGCCCTAATTAAATCATGAGCCTCGAGCCAAACTTCAAAAAACTTCGAAGAATTTATTAGGAGCGACATACTGGCGCGACCTGTATGAAGCCAACTCTGCCCTACATCATTTATAGTCCCCTGTGACCCTGTTTCCCCCCTCCCCCCAGGTGTGTCATAAATCAGATTCTCCAATTAAGCACCTTCACAGCCTGGGTGTCATCAATCACGTTCTCTAGTTAAGGAATTTTGCTGGCAAAAGCTCTGGTAACTTAGCTACCATCTTTTTGAGATAAGGTTGGAATGTGCTTCTGAATTCATTTGCCGTATGCTCCCTCTTTCTTGCGGCAACTTGGAAACAGGCATGAGAATGTTTTACAAGTTGACGTTCTTCTTGATATGTGATTAGCCTGTTTCCATTTCAATTCTTTTACTGTCTTGGTGGCATCGTATACTTTCATCTCTTCTCTAATCCATGTGCCTTTCTGTCTTCCCTTGTAATGCCGGGCATGTATCTTTCCATGGCTCTTTGCACACTCGTAGCTTTTGTATCAATTGTGAGGCTAGTGTCCATGATCCGCCGGCAGCCCGGACAGTGGAGATAAATCAAGCATGGGTTTCTTCAGCATCCGTTCTTCTGTCTTCTGAGATCAAGGGATCTGATATAGAGCAAGGTTTCGCTCAAGGGGATAACGGCAAAGCCCTCTTGAAAGATTCAGCTCCTCGTTTGGAGGGGAGGAATGTACAAATTCATTATTTCATCAACTCTCCGGCAGCTGTTGAGTTCCATCCCAATTCCTTGGCTCGATGCCTCAGGACTGCAGGACTCAGTCACGAAACAGAGGCCCTTGGCTTCCCTGTTCAAAGTGATGAAATGGAGATGAGTCATCTCGCATCCTTGGGAAAATACCTAGCAGCCTCCTCTCTCTTCCTCCCTCACTCCATTTTTATGATTGTTCTTTTTTTGGGTGCAGATGTCTGCTGGCCTAAATTGGGCATAATCGTGACCTATTCTCTCACTTCCCAGATCATGAAGGAATCTGTGTAATCTTGTTTCCTCGTCCGAGTCCTCCCCAGACTCCCGGACTGGTCCCCGTTCTTCCCCTGTCCAATTCCGCTGCCGTCTGCACAGGCTGTTGGCGAACCACAACGTTTTCTTTGGAAAACAGATGGGTGGCATCCCTGACTTAAATCCTAAATCATATAAGCTTTGTTGTTGTGAGTTGCGAAGTCATGCCTGACCCATCGCGACCCCATGGATGACGTTCCTCCAGGTCTTCCTCACTCCATTCACCCACCTCATTCTCTGTCGTATAAACTTAAGTCACAATAATAAAAATAATACATAAAGGGATTTCTCCCTAATTCCCAAATGGGCTAAGTGAGAATAAATAAGGGTGGGGAAGAAAGCTTTTAGTTAAAGGCACAGTAGCTCCAGAAAGTCCCGATAATGTTTTACCTGCCTGGATCAGATAAGCTAGTTGTGTAATTTCTTTCTACTAAAATATATATATATTGCAATGTCTGGTCAGTGGGAAATTAGGGGGGAAAAAACCCATTGGTTTGCCAACTCTCAAATTAACTGCAGAAAAATATATTAAATTACTTTGTTTTAAAATGCGAGTCAGGGTAGAATGGTTGTAATTCAGTGGGGCTGTGGTTAGTCCCAAAGGTGTTTTTTTCAAGAGGCAACTGGACTTTCTGGTTTTTTTCTTTGAAGATGTTTCACTTCTCATCCAAGAAGCTTCTTCAGCTCTGACTGGATGGTGGGGAAGGGAAGGATTTATCCTCCTTTCAGACAGCTGGTCATTTGCACCCTTTTAAAGGGTCATTGAGGCCACTTGGAGGTTTATCTCCAAGTATGCCTGTAGATATGGAAGATGACATTAATGTCTATGAAGATTCTCAGTCATCCAACTCATGGATGACCCAAGTTACTTTTTCAAGAGGCAACTGGACTTTCTGGTTGTTTCTCTGAAGACGTTTTGCTTCTCATCCAAGAAGCTTCTTCAGCTCTGGAAAAAAAGGAAGAACAAAGGACGTCCAGTTGCCTTTTGAAAAAGCATCTTTGGGACAACCATGACCTGGATGACTGAGAAGCTCCATCGATGACTGTGGTTATCAAAGAAATAATCTTAGTAATCTGCAAAAACACAGGTTGGTCTGAAATGGGTTCTAGTATGAAAAAGTCTTCCCTACAAAACTCTTGTCTTTGGAAGGCCTTGATCCTTGATGTCCCTCTTCTTCTCAGGGTCCAGAAGGAAAACCTGGCCATCAAGGAGAAAAAGGCAAAGCTGGACTTAAGGTATGAGTGATTCCATCTTTTTTATTCTCACAAGAATCTCTTCTGCTTTCTGTTGGGTCTCTTCCACCCTGAGTTGACAGCATGGGAACCTTGCAGTTGATAGAAATGGACGTAACTGGATTGTGGGGAGATGGAACTCAATCAACATGGAAGATCTTCTGTATACAGAGAACTAGCCTATCCAGGAGAGATCTAAACTAGCTTTTTCCTCGACATGCTAAATATTTTAAAATTGATTTGTGTTGGTTTATTGGGAGACATTTCCCAACCTTTCCAGTTTAATGGTATTGTCTTGGCCTAGACAGATGTTCAACCATGGGGACTAGCGTGGTTTCAATGGCTGATGTGTTTGCTTTTCTTCAGGGGAGCAAAGGTCATGAAGGACAACTTGGAGAGACGGGCCCACCTGGACCTACGGGCTCAAGAGGGACCCAAGGCCCCAAAGGATCGAGAGGTACCCTCGGACCTAGGGTGAGAATTAACTTTTTAATGAACTCTTGAGTTATAATCCATTAAAGCTGTTTTCTCCCCCAGTTACCTGTGTTCTACAACTAATGTTTCTGCCCTGAGTAATCTCTCACCTGTTTGGCTCTCTTCTCATCCAGTCACCCAAATGGGATCTTTTGTAAGCTCCTGGGTAGGGCTATACAGGGGTAGGCTTCAAAAATTTTGGCAATCGGTTCTCTGCCCGGTTGCTGGGTGGGTAAAGCCATGGTGGGCATGGCCTACTCAGCCTCCTGCTCCACAGCCAGGGGGTGCATTTATGTCCTCCCTGGGTTCTGTAGGTTTTCCTCGAGCCTCCGGGAGGATGAAATGGTCTCCCAGGACTCTGGAGGTTCTCTGGAAGGCAGAAGCCATTTCCAGCCTTCCCAAACTCCCAGGAGGGCTGTTTTTTGCCCTCCCCCCATGGGGTGGGTGGAGCCAGCCAGGAATGGGATTTGAGGGTTCTCCGAACTGCACAGGATCTTAGCTTGGGGTTCTCCTGAGCCCCTGTGAACCTCCAGCAGCCCAGCCCTGGGGCTATGCCATATGACTCAAGCCAAGATTTGGTTGTTCAAAGACAAAGCTTTATCGATATATTCTAATAAAATACAACGAAATGCGTTGATGTCCTTACCTATCTGAGCAGTGGAGTGATATTACTTTGACACCCCAGGCTTGGGTACCCATGTACAGTTGGTTTTCTTCTTAGGGGTCAAAGAGGACTATGTATTTTGTCCAGGAGTAGGAACAACCTGAAGTTCAACCTGAATGAGACAAGGGTTTTGAGTTTCATTACTGGGACCATCAGGAGAATGAGATACTGGTCTAGGAAAGTCCACGTCCTCTTGAGTGTTATCTCACTGTTTGTGACATGATTCTCAGACTACCCTCCTCTTCTTCTATTTTAATACTCTGTTTCCCCAAAAATAAGACCTGGTCATATTTTTTTTTGACACCCAAAAAGGCACCAGGTCTTATTTTCAGGGGAAGTCATCCACTGGTTAACCTCACTTGCACATGTCACCCCCGGCCTCCTTTTTGCTGCCAGAGGCCTTCAGGAACTTCTTCTGTGGCCGGCAAGGCTTTTCTGGAGGCATGCACAGTTGATAACAGAGCTCTGGATCGATCCAGAGCTTTGTCGTCAACTACAGAGGCCTTCAGGAAAACCTTGCTAGCCTTGCCGGCTGCAGGAAAAAATGGGCTGTCAAGGCAGGTGTCGGGGTGTACAAGTCCTGGCTACAACTGTCCAAAGGTAAGTAGTAGGGTACCTCCATCCCTCATCCCCACCTTAGCTTAATTTATCTGTTCACTCTAGAGTGGTTGGGATCTTAATGCTTATTTTGGGGGTTAGGGCTTACGTTGGGCGCCCATGTAAAAATCAAGCTATGACTTACTTTCAGGGTAGGTTGTATTTTGGGGAAAACAGGGTAAGAACTAGAGGAAAATAGCGAAGCTCTCACATACAAGTTTGGGAGAGAACAGGTGGGTCCATTCAGTTTGGAGAAGATCCTGGGAGTTTTCTCAAAGGAAGGGCTTGAGAACACAAATGCTGAGAGGCTCAACCCAGAAACTTTAAATGGTGTGAATAGATATGAACTAGAGAGAGAACGTTTTTTCCCCGTCAGCTAAAATACGGAACCAATTTTAGGAAGAGCAAGGATGGAATGGACTCTTTGTTTTTTCTTCACAGGGACCTCCTGGCCAAATGGGTATCCAAGGAGAGATGGGATTAAAAGGCTATCAGGTAATGGTTTGGGACTGTTGTAGCTACACTAGACTACCTTTTAGCAACTATGAAGTGGTCTGTGTAGTACTTATCTTATTGCCTTTTGGTAACCAGGAGCTCAGAGGGTTTTTTTGTGTGTGCTTGGGACATCTCAGCTTCTTCTCAAATGTGTGTCCCTTTTCTCCATCTCAGGAGAAAATCCCTAGAATGAGGAGTGGAGTTGGAGTAAGGGAGAGAGAGAGAGATAGGTTCCACCAGTGGTGGGATTCAGATAATTTAACAACTGGTTCTCCCGCCTAATGATTTCTTCCAACAACCAGATTGCCAAACTGCTAAGAAAGTCAACAACCGGTTCTCCCAAACTGTTGAGAACCGGCTGAATCCTATCCCTGGGTTCCACCTATCCTGGAGTCCAGGAACAAAGGTCTAAATCGGGTCCATGGTGCTGAAAGCTATTCGCCAAGGTCCATGGGCCAAAGTAGAAGTCAACAGAGGAAGGAATTTCATTGTCCTTCCCTTTCTTCTCCTCTGCAGGGACACACAGGCCCACCAGGCTCCATTGGATTTCCTGGACCTAAAGGGGAAAAGGTAAAATGGTCAGAATGGATGTTGCATGGGACAGTTCAAAAGAAGGAATTAACACGGTCCATCTTCATTGCAAAGATCTTTTGACAAGAGCCATTTCTTAGTCTACCTCCTGAGCTTGAAAATCTCTATCTTGACATCATCCAACCATTGCTATAGGGGAAGATCAGGAGTGAAGGAGGTATTACAGAACGTAGAATAATAGGGTTGGATGGGACCTTGGAGGTCCTCCAATCTAACCCACTTCTCAAGCAGGAGAACCTGTACCTGGGCAAATGGCTGTCCAGTCTCTTCTTAAAAACCTCTAGTGTTGGAGCATTCGCAACTTCTGGAGGCAAGTTGTTCCACTGATTAATTGTTCTAATTGTCAGAACGTTTCTCCTTGGTTCTAGCTTGCTTCTGTCCTTGCTTAGTTTCCATCCATTGCTTCTTGTCCTGCCTTCAGGTGCTTTGGAGAATAACTTGACTCCCTCTTCTTTGGGGCAACCCAACCACCACCACCACCTCCTCCTCCATAAATACATAAATTCCACTAATTAATTGTTCAATTCTCACTGTCAGAAATGTTCTCCTTGGTTCTAGGTTGGATCTCTCTTCGACCTAAATTATAACACAATATCTCTGTAACCTTTATGGCTGGATCATCCTCTCAATCACAAGAAAGCCAAGGGAAATCATCCAAACCATTAAAAAGTGAAAGTTCGAATATGTCAGACAAGTGATGCGACACCCAGAAAAATACGGCATCCTTCACTTAATCCTCTAAGAAAAGATTGAAGGCAAACAAAAGTCCAGGCAGAAGAAGAACGTCATGGCTTCAAAATCTCTAAGGGACTGGTTGCACTTTTTTGTGTGGCTGTTGATAAAAATAGGATCGCCAACACGATCACCAATGTGCAATGACAGATATGGCAGGAGGAGGAGAAGGAGAAGGAGAAGGAGAAGGAGAAGGAGAAGGAGAAGGAG